GAAGTGTCCAAAGACGAGTCACTATTGACAATTTGTGATGGTCCTGGGGCCTGCTCATCAAAATTTCCACACTTTGTCCTGGTTTTACTTGAAGTTTAACTCTCTTATTTTACAGGTAGGTTTGTCAGACCCATGTAAATTTTTAGCAAAGCAACAAACGATTCACTAACCAGCTTCGGCTTTTTGAGCTTCTCGATCTAAGGGTACAATGCCACATGCGTGAAATCCAGATTTAATATTTTTCTCAGAATGACGTCAATTTGTTCCAGTAACTTTTCAGAAGATTGGAAAACAATGATTTTGGAATCGTAGCTTCTTTTTGACCATCCTTAGCCTTCCACTGTTCTAGAATTTTTCGCCAGCACATTTTCATTGGCCTAAAGAAGCTCACATCCAATGGTTGCGTTAGGTGTATAGAATTTGTTGGAAGGAAAATGATATGAATGTTCTCAGCCTTGCACTTTTTAATAGCATCTACAGATATATGTGATGATAAATTATCACCAAGTAAGTACTTTGGACCAACTAGCCTAACATATGGAATAACGCATGTGTCCAGCCAATTTGAGAAACATGTAGCGTCAAACCAGCACGACAGCGTTCGGTTGTATCTTGTTCCCTTTGGCCCTCTATCAGCCCAAGATTCATACAATTGGGCAGATTTGTACACTACATATGGAGGCAAAACTGTCCCATGTACAGTAGCAGCAATCCTTAAAGATGTTGCTGATTTGCTATGCAGCTCGCGATCGATTAATATTCTGTCAGAATCTCTCTGACAACTGATCTTTGTCTCTAGTCAAACAAGATTTTGCGAAGTCCGGTCCTGGCAAATTATTTCTGAACTGTTTAATGGTGGTTCCTTTTCAATCCAGATAATATTTCACTATACAACAAAGGTCAAATTTGTCAATCGGTGCATGCCACTCTGAAGCTATATTTAAATGATTCACAATGATGTTCTCAGATTCCATATCAAGGATAGCTGGGTGACCAACTTGACCAATTTCTGTTCGCTTCGTATGTCGAAACAAAACTGATCTATGCACGCCATATTTTGAAGCAGCCGTTCTGTATGACATACCATTAGCAATATCCCTGAGAGCATTCTGGATGGTCTGAGGATCGTGTTTTTTAAGAGTTTTTGCCCCCAGCTTTGTTTTGTACTTGCGGACCATGGTGTCTCGGAAAGCCCCAAAATCTGGAAAAAATGACACTTTCAGAAAAAAATTCACTCTCACGACAAAAGGAAAAACAAACCAACGGAAAAACTTTAAAATCACTTAATGACACATAAAGCTATTGAAAAATAAAGTAAAACTTACCAATCAAACATTCGCGCACCTGCTGTAAACAAAGTTTTTTGAGGTTAGAAAAATTGCTGAAAACAGCTGATCGGGTTTTAATTCGAATCTCCACCAAGTGATGTCATTAAAATCGCTAAAAGCTGAAAATATTAAAGATAAGGCCCGACAAATTGCATTTATGCCAAAAAACACTTTCCTGTTTAGAAAAAATTGGCAGCCATTATTATCAAATTTCCGGTTTTTGTCTCTTGTAATACCGCAGTCTCTGATAGCCCCGTTTTACGGTACTCAATTTGAAACTGACGATTCTCTTGTGATACTAAACTAAAGCACGTATTCTCCCGATTAGGGTTTTAAAAGCTAATCAATTGATTAATCATGAATAATTTCTGATTTCATAAAATCACTTCGGTCCATTTGAAAAAAAATTTCATAATATGAAAAAACATAAAAACCCTGTATATGCTTCCAAAACGACGACGGAAAGTTATGAATCACATTGGGGGTGCATTTTATCTGAAAAAAGTATTTCATGTATCATTTAGAATCAAATACCACAAAATGAAACTCTGGAATGAAAAAGATTTTTGGTAGTTTACTGGACCTTTTTGATGTTTGTATTTACCTGTCCTGCTTGTTAGTTTTCTTCAGATCAATGTCTAGGGGTACCTATTTCTATTTAGTTGCTTTCTTTTAGGTTCTTCCTGTAGCGGCTTATCCTTGTCTTTCAGCGTCGATGCGGCACGTGAAGCTTGAGCAGTTATTGGACTATGTGATCTTCTCTGTTAGCAATCGGACACATCCAAAATAAAAATATTCGAAAATTGAACAATTGAACTACGTGAAGCCGCTGTTTTAAAATCATCTGTCAAATATGACATTGTCGCCAACAGTTAACATGAAATTCCCCACTATGTCAACTGTCAATCGACTTCCCAACAATTTTAGGCTTTTTCATAAAATAATGTCAAAGTGAAAGAAAATAGAAAAACTGAAATTTCGAGATCATCCATACCCATGCCCCACAAAAGTATTTTTTAAAAATTTTCTTCCTAGTCATATACAATGTGTTTGGTTACGACATACCGATATTTAAGGGGGTTTTTCAGCTATTTTTGTCGACAAATCCACCCCCTACAATGTTCTACCTCACCCCTCTTGAAATGGCATCCATTCTTATTTTTAATGAAAATTGTAATAACTGAGTACATAAGTGATACAGAACGATAAATTTGGTGTCAATTGAACAATAGCATGTTGTTCTAGCGATTGTTGAAAAAACTTTATTGATACTAACCGTCAAACATACTTAAAAACAGACAAAACCTGAAAAAAAATATGCAAGAAAATAGATTATTTTGTGCATTTCCGCCTCATCATTCAAAAATT